TGGGATATTTCTGTCTCTCCCCAGAATCAGCAGCGCCTCGTCCCACGTGGCTTCAGAGTTGCTTCCGCCCTGTGCCGTGGGGCCGATGGAGTCGCCTCAGCGAGCGATTAGTTTAGTCTGCCCTTAAAGGTAAAGAACCAGCCTTTATTTTTTTCCTCCCTCTCTTCTCGCCCCCACTTCCTACATAAGCCACGAAGTCGGTGGGTTGTTGTTTTTCAATTGGTTCCTCCGTGCCCCAAAAAGGGCGTACACTATATTTAAAAAATTATATTTCCTTCTCCACGTCCGTTCCCCCGCTTGAATCCCGGGAGCTGCAGTCCCGGAGCAATCTTCTTCTCAGTGCCTACATTGTAGTGGTTTTCACTCATGTTCTGCTGTGTGCTTGTGCGTTGGTTCCCGTGTTCTAGTCTTTTGAGGAAAAATGTCATTTAGAACTCTTCACAGAACCCTTTCCTACACAGATCTAATCTCCATTGCATGTTTGGAAGCCACTATGGAGTTGCCTTTATATGCATACAATTGTGATGAAATAAACAGTTATGCCATCTTCAAATAAACAGTGTGCATGGCCATACATTCTTTTTTTACCTATGAAAACTTTATTGTCATGGAACACACACGTCTCTTGCTCTTTAGCAGTGTTAAATTATTAAATAATTTGTTTTTAACAAATTCTTACGAATAGCACGTGCATTTAGTGAGCTCCCGGTCAGGTGCGGTGTGTCCTGTTTTGCCGCCTGAGGCGAAACAGGAATATGCTTCCTGTCAGCTGCCGCCACCGCCGGCGGAGAGGTGGCGCTGGTTTCCTGCGAGCTCTCATGTGGTTTACAAGCTCTCACAACTTTCTGTGAGATCTCATAAAATCTCAACGGAAACGGGTGCTTCTGCCAGCGCTGTTTCTCCAGCGGTGCGGGTGGGCAAGGTATCTGCAGAGGTGCTGCCCCCTGCGCTTCCGCTGCCCGAAGCAGTTGCTTTACCCTACCTCATGAGCTGGCTGGCTCTGCTACTGGTTCTCCTTCAGCAGGGACGGAGGAAGGGGGTGCGGTGGGGGCAGGCCACCCAGGTGTCACCACTGGGGGGGTTTGACAAAATGTCGGGTGGCACTCACCACGGGGCCTGCAGCGCACCCGAGCCATGCATCTCTTCTGGGATTGATGCGGTGGCTTAGGCGCCCACAGGCGCTGCGCTACCCGAAATAGTCCACCTGCCCATCATCTGTAGGGCGGCTGAGTGGGAGGAGGCAGGCAGACTCCTCAAAGCGTCCTGCCCCAGCTGGCCCCGCCCCTGGGCGGCTGGCCCCGCCCCTGGGCGCAGGGCACGTGCACCGCCCCAGGCGCCCAATCGGCTTGCTCCGCCGCTGTCCTTCAGCTGTGGCTTAGATTCAAAAAGTGCTGAATTCCAGCCAGAACAGCAAAGGTAGGGTCTTTCTTTGCAAGTGTGTGGCTTGAAGTTTGAATCCCCTGACTTTATATGGTGCCAGATTATTGAAAGTTGGGTGACTCCACCACCACCAGTTCGTCAGAATGGCTCACGGAGGGTTGGCCACTTCTGGATTTGGCTTATTGGACGGATGTATTTCCCCCCATCCCTATCCCAAACTGATCTGCCGAGGAAACAAAATATCTGTCGCAATGAACATGCAATTTACCCCTCGAAACAGGAAGCAGAGCCATAGTGATGGAGTGCCAATATGGGCCCCGAAGGAAGGGTTTTCAGCCCAGGAAAACTGGTGAACAGGAGGACATTTCCTGCCAAGTGTACAAAGCCACCTGCCCTGCAAGGTAAGCAATGGATAGCCGGGAAAGTAGAATAATAATATTCATAATGAATAATGAATGTCCTGAATGGGGTAACTGTGCCCTAAACGACCAGGTGTGCAGCCTGGGAGTCATTTTGGACTCACAGCTGTCCATGGAGGCCGCAGTTAATTCTGTGTCCAGGGCAGCTGTCTACAGCTCCACTGGTACGCAGGCTGAGACCCTACCTGCCTGCGGACTGTCTTGCCAGAGTGGTGCATGCTCTAGTTATCTCCCGCTTGGACTACTGCAATGCACTCTACGTGGGGCTACCTTTGAAGGTGATCCGGAAACTACAAGTAATCCAGAATGCGGCAGCTAGACTGGTGACTGGGAGAGGCCGCTGGGACCACATAACACCGGTCCCGAGAGATCTGCATTGGCTCCCAGTATGTTTCCGAGCACAATTCAAAGTGTTGGTGCTGACCTTTAAAGCCCTAAACGGCCTTGGTCCTGTATACCTGAAGGAGCATCTCCTCCCCCATCGTTCAGCCCGGACACTGAGATCCAGCGCTGAGGGCCTTCTGGTGGTTCCCTCATTGCGAGAAGTGAGGTTACAGGGAACCAGACAGAGGGCCTTCTTGGTGGTGGCGCCCGCCCTGTGGAACAGCCTTCCTTCAGATGTGAAGGAAAGAAGCAGCTATCCTATTTTTAAAAGACATCTGAAGGCAGCCCTGTTTAGGGGAGCTTTTAATATTTAATGCTGTATTGTTTTTAACACTCGATTGGGAGCCGCCCAGAGTGGCTGAGGAAACAGCCAGATGGGCGGGGTATATATATTATTTATACCCTGCCCATCTGGCTGGGTTTCCCCAGCCACTCTAGAAGGCTTCGGACATTTTAGTAAATAGGACAAATGTTTATCTGATCAACAGCGTACAAAATTTTTTTTTGTAAGAAAATGTTACTACCAATACTATAAAAATAGATAAGAGCAGCTCTGAGGGGCAAATATGTTTTAAGGGGTCGTGTCACTCTTCCACCTCTTTAAATAGTTAGGTGTTTTTCATCCTAAAACGTCTTAATAGAATAAGAGAATGTGTTTGTTTGTTGTAGTCTCTGTGTTGTGATTCCTTCCCCTCCTTTCCTATGGCAGGATCTATATTAAGAAGGTCCAGAAGTTCCCCGAGTATAGAGTTCCGACAGACCCCAAAATTGATAAGAAAATTTTACGTGTGGAACAGGAGAAAGCTTTCAACGTGCTGAAGAAAAACCTGATTGATGCTGGTGGGGTTCTCAGGTAATGTATGTCTTTCAGCTTGATTTGTTGTTGTTTAGTCGTTTAGTCGTGTCCGACTCTTTGTGATTCCATGGACCAGAGCACACCAGGCACACCTGTCTTCCACTGCCTCCCGCAGTTTGGTCAAACTCATGCTGGTAGCTTCGAGAACACTGTCCAGCCATCTCATCCTCTGTCGTCCCCTTCTCCTTGTGCCCTCCATCTTTCCCAGCATCGGGGTCTTTTCCAGGGAGTCTTCTCTTCTCATGAGGTGGCCAAAGTCTTGGAGCCTCAGCTTCAGGATCTGTCCTTCCAGTGAGCACTCAGGGCTGATTTCCTTCAGAATGGAGAGGTTTGATCTTCTTGCAGTCCATGGGACTCTCAAGAGTCTCCTCCAGCACCATAATTCAAAAGCATCCATTCTTCGGCGATCAGCCTTCTTTATGGTCCAGCTCTCACTTCCATACATCACTACTGGGAAAACCATAGCTTTAACTACATGGACCTTTGTTGGCAAGGTGAAAAATTTAAAGGGGGAAAAAAAACATGGATGTGCATTTCCAAAATATAAGATAAGTTCAACAATTACTTTGACAAAATACATATTTTGTTATGGCTTTCAATACATATCAGGTCCATAAATTACCATATAGCATATATTCAACACAAAAAATAGCGACAATTTGTTGTTGACAAAGGACAGCTGGACATATAAAGGGCCCCATTGCCTTCAGTAGCTTAGGGCCTCATCAAACCTAAATCCGGCCCTGTGAAGCATCTATTAGGAATGTCTCAGAAACCCCTTTAGTTTGATCACTCCTAGCAAACAAACTTGGGTGCTAAATGCTAACAGCTGTGCAACAGAATCAGAGCAACTTAAGAAACAAAAGGGAAGCACTGGAATGTTTGAAGGAGCTGCAAAAACAGTAGAAGTAAATATATATATATTCAGGGAGGAAAAACCATACAGGGCCAAACCCTCCCAACACAACCCAGTTGGGATTGGACATTGTCAGGGGCCACAGAATAAAGAGTGTCCCGAGTCCTGAAGAAGCCGGGGAGACAGCTGGAAACTAGCAGGGAATGGAATGAAGTATTCTGGAAGAGGACATAGTTGACTGGCCAGACCCCTGAACAGGAGTGCTCCACACCACATTTTGTTGATGTTTCCATTTGTGCATTCTCATTGGGAGATTTTTATGTGCTGACTTGGCTAACAAAGGTTGTGTGTGATTTCAGTGGATCAAGACACCCCAGAAAATTAGGAATAGGATCGTTCCTTAGAAATCATTTGCCACCATTCTAAAAAGGGGTTGGGAGGTGCGCAGGTTTTGTACCAATAAGAAAGGAAGGGGTAGGGTTGGGTAGAGATTTTGGGAGAAGAAATAAGGCTGCGTGTGTGTCATTCCTCTATGAAGAAGGTTAATTATCAGTGTTGATCAGTGCTTTTTTTCTGGGGGGGACGCAGGGGGACGCATACCCCTAAACATTTTGTGAATCTACGTTTGGCCTCATTGAGGGGCAGTATTTCAATATGAATAGGAAAATGAGAGTACTCCTAAACATTTTTTTAGGGAAAAAAAGCACTGGTGTTAATGCTAGTCAAAGTTAAGGTTTTAATAACTGCATTTATATCCTGCCTTCTTCTCGAAAGAGCTCATGGTAGCAAGCACATTCACAACAAAAAAACCCCTAAAGCAGTTAAAAGCATTCTGAAAACCGTTACATTTAAAATCATTATTTCATTATTTCAACCTTAGGGTTGCCAGGAACAGCATTGTTGTTATGAGTTTGGAGGTGCTGGGTGCCCCTAAAGTACTGGACCCAGTAAGTGTTAGAAATTAGTCAAGCCTTCTGAACTCCTAGATCCAGCCAGGGTTAAAATATAAAGCAGGCTGGTTTTGTCATGAGTTGATCACCTGGGAGATGAGCCATTAAGAGAGAACAAAGGGAAAGATGATGGACTGTTAAGAAAGCAAAAGAGAGAGGACTCTGTGCCAGACAGCAAAAGGGCTGGAGCTTCTCCTTCAGCTCTGAGTTAGTTAGAAGACCAAATGAGAGTTTGAAGCAGAGTCTTTAGAGTTTTGAGTCTGTGATGTGACGTAGAGGAAAGAAGGTTGCAGGCTGTTAAAGGCAGCAAGCTGGAAAGAGAGTCAGAGCACAATGGTTGGTTTCTGTTTTAAACCATAGGCTGCAGCTATGGGAGAAAGAAGACCCTTTTGGGGCGTTAATGCAGTGAACCCCTCAATATTTAATGCTGTACTGTACAGCAATCTGAGTGGCAAAGATAACAGCAATCTCTGTGGAAGTGTGGTGATGCCCATGAGTTAGACCAGGTATAGGCAAACTCGGCCCTCCAGACGTTTTGAGACTACAATGCCCATCATCCCTGACCACTGGTCCTGTTAGCTAGGGATGATGGGAATTGTAGTCCCAAACATCTGGAAGGTCGAAGTTTGCCTATGCCTGAGTTTCCCCCCTCCTGCTGGAAAAAGTTATTACTTTCTTGGGAGTTGCATCTGCCAATTTTTCTCGCCAGGTGGTATGTGCAGTTACCTACTCAGCAGGCTCATCAGTATCACGAGCTAGAGATGTGCCTCCCACGATCGCCATTCTCCATACCGTCTCCTGAGGGAGAGGATGATGCAGGCAAAGACGAAAGCTGCACGCTGCCCTCGCGACTTCACCCGCAAGTTGCAGATAAGATCCGAGAGCTAGTGTCTCAAGGAATAGAACAAGTCTACGCAGTGAGGAAACAGTTACGGTAAGTCTTTGTAAGTCTCCACACAACACACTTTTCCCACTTTGTGTGGGTTATGACACAGCACCCGCTCCCCACCCCTGTCCTGATTTCGACATTTTGGCTGTTTTGGGAGTGGAATGTGGTTTCACAGATCCTTCCCATATATCAAGGTAGGTGCTTTTCAAACCAATTGGAAAGAGCACCCCAGAGACCTGTAGTAAACCTCTAGTCCCTAAGCCCTATAGTATAGAAACTTACTACTTTATTATCCATACCTGAGATTTTTCAAGAGGCCAAAGTATGGGCTAAGTTGTAGTTTTTCTTACACTGCACAGAAGAGAAAGCTTTACATACTGGTATTCTATGAAGTATTTTCTTTATCAAACTTCTGTTTGCCTGGTTGTTTTGTTTTTGAGTTTTGCTTTTGCAAAGTTTTTGGATTTTTCCTAAGTAGTCCAGCAAAATTTCAGTAGGAAAAGAATGGGTTAATCACAGGGTGGATTAGATTTAAATCACAATTTAAATCACTAGTCAGTAAGACTTGATTTAAATATTTTTTTTACAGAAAGACTCATTCTTGCTGGCATGATCTTAATATTTACAACCAGATGAAGGTTTCATTTTTGGAATAATAAATTTTCAAAGATTACTAATTTGGTTATACTATTAGAAATACATAGACAGATAGTTAGGAAATTGTTGTGAGGTTTAATAAGTTAACTGCTTATATTTGGACAACTTTTCTGCTGTACTTTATCGGAAGGAGAAAATAATCATTTCCTTAATAGAAGAAGAAGAAGAAGAGTTTGGATTTGATATCCTGCCTTTCACTCCCTTTAAGGAGTCTCAAAGCGGCTAACATTCTCCTTTCCCTTCCTCCCCCACAACAAACACTCTGTGAGGTGAGTGAGGCTGAGAGACTTCAGAGAAGTGTGACTGGCCCAAGGTCACCCAGCAGCTGCATGTGGAGGAGCGGAGACGCGAACCCGGTTCCCCAGATTAGGAGTCTACCGCTCTTAACCACTACACCACACTGGCTTAATAACAATTTAAACAATTTTATTTAACTGAAACTATAACATTATAGTATATATATCCATGGTTGTTAACTGATGTGGTTAAAATTTTTTCTTTTAAACTTTAAACTGAGTTTTAGCACACATGAAAAACTTAAAACAAATCCTTATTTCCTGATGAATAGCCTTAGGACTATAATGTAGAAACCTGTCTTTAGAAAGAATCTGCCCCCCAAAGAATTTTATTTTAAAAATCCACTTTAAATAAAAAAAAATCTGACCCTGGATAATCAGGCTAAATGTATGTTAGTAGAGTAAAAAGCGGAGACATCACCTTGCCAACAAAGGTCCATGTAGTTAAAGCTATGGTTTTCCCAGTAGTGATGTATGGAAGTGAGAGCTGGACCATAAAGAAGGCTGATCACCGAAGAATTGATGCTTTTGAATTATGGTGCTGGAGGAGACTCTTGAGAGTCCCATGGACTGCAAGAAGATCAAACCTCTCCATTCTGAAGGAAATCAGCCCTGAGTGCTCACTGGAAGGACAGATCCTGAAGCTGAGGCTCCAATACTTTGGTCACCTCATGAGAAGAGAAGACTCCCTGGAAAAGACCCTGATGTTGGGAAAGATTGAGGGCACAAGGAGAAGGGGACGACAGAGGACGAGATGGTTGGACAGTGTTCTTGATGCTACCAGCATGAGTTTGACCAAACTGCGGGAGGCAGTGGAAGACAGGAGTGCCTGGCGTGCTCTGGTCCATGGGGTCACGAAGAGTCGGACACGACTAAACGACTAAACATCATCAACAACAAGAAGAGTAAAACACTTGGGCTTGAAGGAGACTTCCACCAAGTCTTGCTTCATTTGTAGGCCCCTGCACCATTCTCAAGGATACCCCAGTCTCCAGATGCAAAAGGAAAAGGAGAGGCAGGAGACCTCCATCTGTGAGTGTGAGCTCTACCCTGCTTGGGGAAGGAATGTTAACTTCCCAAGCCTTGATTGTATGTTGTTCGGAAGAGCAGCATGTACGATAAATCACATATCAACACGTGTGTAATCCTCTCTTTTCCCCTATTTCCAATACTCAACAGAAAATTTGTGGAACGAGAATTGTTCAGACCTGATGAAGTGCCGGAGAAGCACAACTTGTCCTTCTTTCCTACTGTAAATGATCTCAAGAACCACATTCATGAAGTGCAGAAGTCACTAAGAAACGGGAAGATATTATACAACTCAGAAACTATTCCAGCAATGGTAAGCATGGACTCTTCTTTCTTCCTCTCTTTCTCTTTCAGCCGAGTTTTGTGGTCATTTTGTGGACCGTCTTCATTGCTTGCTCTTGACTCTCTCTCAGGATAACTGTTTCAAAGGCATTAGCACAAATAACCCCGCCCCCAGTAAATTACAATTAAATTGCCTACTAAGGTGATTGATACAGTATTGTCAGAATGAGAAACAGAGTATAAACTAGAGTATAAAACCAAAAAAGATTGTTTTTAGTAGAGCAAATTTATTTACTCAAATGGTCACTTAATAGATATCTGATAGAACAAGTGACAAGCTTAAATTATTTGGGGTTGTCACTCAGCAAGTTCATGGCAAACTCCTAGCTAAGTAAAGGTAAAAGGAACCCCTAACCATTAGGTCCAGTCGTGACCGACTCTGGGGTTGCGGCGCTCATCTCGCTTTATTGGCCGAGGGAGCCGGCGTACAGCTTCCGGGTCATGTGGCCAGCATGACTAAGCCGCTTCCGGCGAACCAGAGCAGCGCACGGAAACGCCGTTTACCTTCCCGCCGGAGCAGTACCTATTTATCAACTTGCACTTTGCTGTGCTTTCAAACTGCTAGGTTTTCAGGAGCAGGGACCGAGCAACGAGAGCTCACTCCATCACAGGGATTCGAACCGCCAACCTTCTGATCGGCAAGTCCTAGGCTCTGTGGTTTAACCCAAAGCGCCACCCGCGTCCCTAACTCCTAGCTAGAACAACTCAAATATCAGAGAGGACTACGAAGGTCTTACTAATATTCCACATGGCAGAAGGCTTGGCTTTTATTTCTTTAAATGATTACTTGACCAGGGTTTGTTTGACACCAAGTTAACTGTTTCTTAAAACCACAGAAGGGTTAAGAAGGAGGAATCTAAAAGATAAGAGTATAAGAACAAATAAGTAAATCTGCATTTCAGTTTTTGTGTTTTCATGGTGATTTGGATGTGTGTCAACACGTGATAAGAGTGTTGGCTTCTTTAAATGGCTCTTCTTCCTCTTTTCAGCTTCAATGGACAACAGACAGTGGTAATATTCTTACTGAAACAGTGACTGTTACACTTGCATCTTCACCTACTGAGGGTAGGAGCAAGCTGAAAACATTTATTTGTTGCTGAGTTAATCCTAACGTTATGTAGCCTATATGTAAGTGGTTCCCAAACTCCCCAACTTCTTCAATATCTTGGTGGGCCACTTAGATTTTCCTGTTTGCGGTCACAATTGTAACACACTGTGCTAGATGTTGTATGATTTTTAATTGTAATGTTATTACTTATTTTATTTCTTATATAGTTTTCAAATTTGCAACTGTAATACATTAAAGAAAACAATTAAAATGCCATTAAAAATCAATAGAAATATTTAATGCAGAAATGCCATGGTCCACCTGAATGAAGATTGCAGGCCATTGTTGATCTGCTAGACCACAGTTTGGGAACCCCTGCATTATTTTATCGCTTAACCGTGCCAATTTCAGAGGCAGTTTCAAAGTCTCATTCCTTCACCAATTATTATTATTATTATTATTATTATTATTACGGGTTGGGTTTGTTTTTCATCTTACAGTTCATGCGCCTTAAAAGTAAATGCCTTTTTTACAATTTATTGTTTAAATGTCCTATGAATGATTCTTTGTGCACTTCCCTTTGCTGTGGTGTGACGAGCCCTTTGGAAGTGATAGTTGTGAGGGTGGGTAGCAAAAAAATAGCCTGGTACAGGAAGTTGCAGCAAGATCCTTAGGAATGTCCCTAAGCCACGAGGTAGTGGCTCCCTGTGAATGCAAGGAGTCTGCTTCATACATAAGTCAATAGGTGCTGTATTACGAGTGTAGAGTTTTCTCCGATATTGGAATGAATTCCTTGGGTGTGTGTTCTGCTCCAGAGTTTAGGACAGTATGCAACTAAATCCTTGCGTTAGTGTAAGGCTTCTCCTCCCCACAAGGTTTGTGGTGGGGGGAAGCCAGAACAGATTTAGGGGGCATGCAGCAAAAGGAGAGCATGCAATTCCTCATATGTTAGTTGGTGACCCAACTGATGCAATGTATTGCTTATACCAGTGTATGTATGGCGAATTGCACATTAAGCTGAGCCTTTTTCTGTGTGTGTTTAACTTGTATTTTAGCAACTCTTGAAATGGACCAACTGAACTGAAAAACACATCCCACTCCTGGAACTGGAAGGTAAGAATTTAATTGCTGGCAGCGTAAGAGATCGGTTTTTTTGGCCCTAGGGCGCTTAATTTGAAATATGTCCATATATATTCTATTCATCAATTCATTTTTACCCTTCAGGGAGCAGACATACTTATTTGCATATTTTTATAGTAGCTGTTTTTTTATTTATAGCTTGCTTCAAATAATTTGTACTGCAAGTAATGTAGAGATTCTGGCAATAGTATTTATCTCAGTGAAGCCACAAATTTGCAGCTAGTAAATTTGATCCTAAATGTGTTGTGCTAATACAGTGGTGCCTCGCAAGACGAAATTAATTCGTTCTGCGAGTTTTTTCGTCTTGCGATTTTTTTCGTCTTGCGAAGCACGGTTTCCCTGGGTATTAACGGTTTTAAGAAAAAGGAAACAAACTTGCAAGACGTTTTCGTCTTGCGAAGCAAGCCCATAGGGAAATTCGTCTTGCGAAGCAACTCAAAAAACGAAAAACTCTTTCGTCTTGTACGTTTTTCGTCTTGCGAGGCATTCGTCTTGCGAGGTACCACTGTATATCTATTTGAAGTGTTGGTGTAATGAACCCACAAGATTGCTGTAGATGTTTTGTATTTTGTGTTCAAAGCTGATTTCGGGGGCGTAATTCCAACAACTTTGGGGTTAAATCCTAAAAAAAGTTACAGATAGGTAGCCGTGTTGGTCTGCCATAGTCAAAACAAAAAAATTCCTTCCAGTAGCACCTTAAAGACCAACTAAGGTAGTTCTTGGTATGAGCTTTCGTGTGCAAGCACACAACTTTGGGTGGTCCTCACGCATGGCATGTTCACTTCATCAAATCTAGCCCTCTTTGAAAAAAGTTTGGGCACCCCTGAGGTACAGTAATTGCTGTATTTACTTGAGCCATTGCTTTAGCAGAAACCGTGGCAAACGAATGCACATCAATACAGTACAGTATATGGTCTTTATTTAGAGATAAATCAACATCAGCTACTGCTTTTCTCATTTTACAAATTCCCTAAGTGGGCCACTGCCACAAAGCAGAATACAAAACAATAAAACAAACATTTAAATATATTAAATTATTAGTTAAATACAACTACAGTGGTGCCCCGCAAGACGAACGCCTCGCAAGACGGAAAACCCGCTAGACGAAAGGGTTTTCCGTTTTGGAGGCGCTTCGCAAAACGAATTTCCCTATGGGCTTCCTTCGCAAGACGAAAGCCCATAGGGAAATACCCGGGACAGCGGGGAAGCGCAGCGCGTCTTCCCCACTGTCCTCGGACCTCCTCCGAAGCCTGGCGGCGGGGCGGGGACACCTCCTCCCGCCGCCCGGCTTCGGAAGGATGCTCCGAAGCCGGGCGGCGGGGGGGGGACACCTCCTCCTGCCGCCCGGCTTCGGAAGGATGCTCCGAAGCCGGGCGGCGGGGGGGGGAACACCTCCTCCTGCCGCCCGGCTTCGGAAGGATGCTCCGAAGCCGGGCGGTGGGGCGGGAACACCTCCTCCCGCCGCCCGGCTTCGGAAGGATGCTCCGAAGCCGGGCGGTGGGGCGGGGACACCTCCTCCCGCCGCCCGGCTTCGGAAGGATGCTCCGAAGCCGGGCGGTGGGGCGGGGACACCTCCTCCCGCCGCCCGGCTTCGGAAGGATCTCCAAAGCCGGGCGGCGGGGGGGGGAACACCTCCCCCCGCCGCCCGGCTTTGGAAGGATGCTCCGAAGCCGGGCGGGGGGGCGGAGAGGTTTTTTAAAAACCCCGGGACAGCGGGGGACTTCTCTTTTTTTTTTTTTTTTTTTTTAAATAATTTTATTGGGTTTTCACATTTTATATAGACAAAAACAAAACACATAACACCAAAACAAACATAAAAAAAACAACAGCAAACATGAATAGTTCCAAAAAATCTTATTTTCTAACCCTAGTCCTTGACTTCCCCCCACCCCCTCCCTTGCATCCCTGTTCCCAAGTTTATGTCAGCAAGTTAGCATTTCTTCCTTCTTAATATTAGTCCTTTTATAAAAACAAAAGATAAGTTTTCCCTAAGTTGGACCCCAATTCTCTTCCCTCGATTTCTCATTTTTTCTTGAGTAATTTCCTTATTACTAAACCCCTGGTCTTGAGTGTTGTTTAAGCTTGTGCTTCCCTCCCTCCCATCCCCGCTTTGCGTCCTTTCACAAGACATGTCCAAAATAACAGTTTTTAGCCTGGATTCCGCACATCCGAGGCTCTCAAATCTATTTCAGTCCCTCTCCGCCGATTTTGTTGGTAGTCCTCTTTGTCAGCCATCGAGTCTCGAAAGATTTCATTAACATTCAGTCCAATCAGTCCATAGTCTCTTCCCATATTTATAAGCATCTGCTGAAGAATTTCCACAAGGCCTGAGTCTTGGTGATAGTCAAAGTCAAAGTCTATGTGGAGGCCCCAATTGTACTTCTTTATTTCGAGTTCCTGAATTCCATAAACTCCCAGGGCCTCCACCTTCATCTTCTGTATCTTTCGTAGGCTTGGAATAGATTCCATCCAATGGTCTCCTTGTTTGTATTCTCCAAATATCGGCTTCTGGTTAGTATTTTCCCACATAACTTGTTCTCTTTCTTGTTTTGTCTTCTCCTCTTCTTTGTTTATTATTTCAAATTCAGCTGTGGGTTCTTTCTCATTCAAGTCCTCATTACATTCAGCAGAACTACTTGTTTCCAAATCCAAGGCCGTCAATTGTTTACTCATAGCTGTAGTCTGCTCCTGTAAGGTTCCCACCAGTGAAAACATCCTTTCGATTTCTCTCAGTATCTTTCCACCCACAGCCATTGTAATTCCACAGAATTCCCCCTAGAGGGAATCTGGTTACTGGATGGTCTTTTCTCCAACAATCCTCTGTCCTATTGTTGTTTCTTTGTTTCCCAAAATTTTAGATCAATTGTAGCTCCTTTTTATCCGGAGAGGTCTTAAGTAGCAATTTTTTCAGTATTAACAGTCCATTTGACAGCTTTGACAGCTGTCAAATTCTGCTCCTCTATACAGGCTCCAAAGCAGATCGCTCCCGGGCTCGGGAGGGAGGGTTGTTTACCACAAAACAAAAACTCTTCCAACACTCCACTCTCCTGCTTAAACTTGCTTTTCCAAATCTTGGAAGTTACTGTCTTTTTTAAAACTCACCCTTTACAGGGTGGGCACTCCAGCTTAGCTCTTATATCGTTGCTCTGGATCGTCTGCAAGGGGGGGGATGGGGACTTCCTTTTGGCACACCCCCCGGTCGTCTCAAATTCAAAAGGTAAAAGTTTTTTAAAGCTCAGGTCCAAATTACTCACGGGTTCTTTTTTCAATCCAAATTTCAAGGAAGGAAGTCAGCGCTCTCCGGTTATGGCTCGCGGCTTCGCTCAGCGGCGGTAGCGATCGACTCTCAGTGCCGCGCCGTCCCCCGTATCCCCTCCATAGCCTTTAAAAAGGCTCTTCGCGAATCAGGGGGGGCGCTTAAGGCACCCGCCGAGTCTTCAGTCCGCAGGCATCTGCACCTGCGGTTTTTAAGGGTCCCCGTGTCGCCGGCACGGCAAAGACCCATCCACCGCTGAGCCGATTCCCTCCGGAGCTCGGAGGGAATCCGCCATTCCCGGATCGCGCCAACCCGGAAGTCCACAGCGGGGGACTTCTCCGCTGTCCGGGGCGATTTTAAAATGCTGCCGGGCGGCAGCGCTGCCACCCGGCAGCATTTTAAAAAAAAAAAACCCGGGACAGCGGTTTTAAAATCGCCCCGGGCGGCGTGTTTCTCCGCTGTCCCGGAGGGCTTTTGAAAGCAGGCAGGGGGAGCAAAGACTTTCACCCCCCGCCCGCCTTCAGAAGAGGTCCTGGACCTCTTCTGAAGGCGGGCGGGGGGCGAAAGTCTTTGCTCCCCCCTGCCTGCCTTCCCGGGAGAGCGGAGAAACGCAGCGCGTTTCTCCGCTGTCCCGGAGGGCTTTTGAAGGCAGGCGGGGTGGGGGGGTGGGGAGCAAAGCCTTTCGCCCCCCCCGCCTGCCTTCAGAAGAGGTCCTGGACCTCTTCTGAAGGCGGGCGGGGGGCAAAAGGCTTTGCTCCCCCCTGCCTGCCTTCCCGGGAAGGATGCTCCGAAGCGGTACCTATTTACTTGCACTTTGAGGTGTTTTCGAACTGCTAGGTTGGCAGGAGCAGGGACCTAGCAACGGGAGCTCACCCCATTGTGGGGATTCAAACCGCCGACCTTCTGATCGGCAAGTCCTAGGCTCTGTGGTTTAACCCACAGCGCCACCCGCGTCCCCCACCTTAGACACTAACTACGTTTGTTATTGGTATGCGCTTTCGTGAGCATGCACACATCTTCAGATACATGGCTACCTACCTGTAACTAACCTGTACTGCTAACTGATTCATTTTCCTGTGATTTAATGTTCAACTACTCACTGTTATACTCACTCAACTTCCTTTCCTGCTTTCTACTCCCTTGTTTTCTTTCAATATTCCTCTATAGACTACTGACCATTCAACAAAGTACTTTATACTGCATGAGATATATCTGGGGATTTAGTTTGGATGGCTGATTGGATAAGCTTTTATCAAAGGTAAGAAGTGCCCCTGCCCCATGTCACTTTGTCTCTGGTTGTTTTTGTAGGGAGCTCACCAGAGAAAACCATAATCAAAGTGGAATCAAATGGAGCAAAGGAGCTCTTAACTTCAGAGTTACTCCAGCCCATAGCATTTACCCAGCAAAAGGTAACTACGGTTTCTATAACAAGCTGTCAAAAAATTAGTAGTCTGGGATCAGGGAGTTACCTGTACAGCACAGGACCATTGTATTATAGTTTGTGTACAGTGGTACCTCGGGTTAAGTACTTAATTCGTTCCGGAGGTCCGTTCTTAACCTGAAACTGTTCTTAACCTGAAGCACCACTTTAGCTAATGGGGCCTCCTGCTGCTGCCACGCCCCCGGAGCACAATTTCTGTTCTCATCCTGAAGCACAGTTCTTAACCCAAGGTACTATTTCTGGTTTAGTGGAGTCTGTAACCTGAAGCGTATGTAACCTGAAGCGTATGCAACCCGAGGTACCACTGTATTGGGTTTTTTCTTTAAATATCAGGGGAAATATGTACTTCTTTGCAGGAGAAGACAAGTGCACATCTGAAGGGACACAAGCTGTCAGCTTTATAGATTTCACAATGCAGATTTGTCCTAGAAGTGACACTTGCACAATTGTGTTCTGCATAGCACCAATCACTCCTGTTGAGGCAGTATCCAGGAACAAAATATTGTGACTTGACTGATGGTAAACTGTGATATTCCTGCAGCATGCATTTCCTTGAAGAAAGACATTTTAGATCCCTACAACGCATGAGTAACTGCACTCAGTAACTGCTGGACACACACTTGTTGGCAACCTCCCGTTTACAGGGAGAGAATTGCAGTTCATACCTACAATTTAGGCATTCCTGGTCTGACACATAAGTGTGTGTGTGTGCATGTGTGTGCTGGATGGATGGGGTTTTTTTATGTGTGTGATAGTAAAGGTAAAGGGACCCCTGACCATTAGGTCCAGTCGTGGCCGACTCTGGGGTTGCAGCGCTCATCTTGCTTTATTGGCCGAGGGAGCCTGCGTACAGCTTCTGGGTCATGTGGCCAGCATGACTAAGCCACTTCTGGCGAACCAAAACAGCAGACAGAAACGCCATTTACCTTCCCGCCGGAGTAGTACCTATTTATCTACTTGCACTTTGACGTGCTTTCAAACTGCTAGGTTGGCAAGAGCAGGGACCGAGCAACGGGAGCTCACCCCATCACGGGGATTCAAACCGCCGACCTTCTGATCGGCAAGTCCTAGGTTTAACCCACAGCGCCACCTGCGTCCCACTGCGTGTGTGATAGTACCACTCCATATATCCTAGTTAGGATTCAGAAACTACCCAACTTGAAGTTTGTCATGGAACTTCATTTGCTATTTTGCACTTTGGTGGGTGAATGCGTAAACGTTTTTTAAAAAAACTTTTACTTTTCTAGGGTTTACAGCTGCAATCATTTGATGAAGCAGCAGCCCTTCTGAGGGTGGATAGCCAGACACCTCTCCAGCCCGCAAGCCTTACGCATTCCACAAGGAGGCACTTAACCATCCGGCCTATATTCAACAAGGAAAATAACCTTCGAGCAAGTTTCAGTCAAGCACAGAACAATGCTACAACATCAGCGCTTGGAGAACAACATGGACCAAATTAAAGGGCTGTGGCTTTGGGTCAGTTTGTAACTGTTGGCAGCATGGGGGATGCTGAAGCTCTTGAAAAGAATCAAAGTATTTTGGGAGATGAGCAGACCATTCCCACACAGACGGCAGACAACTGTCCAGCTCTTAGTAAGTACAAATCTCTCTAGGTTGTCAAACTCTCTAGTGTTTCTTCCCACAAGGGGCTTAATCGTCGAGCTGCACAATGGTGTCTAGACAATATACAACCAATAGTTCAGACAAGTGGACAAATCTGTCCCTTTGTGCATTTCTCCCATAAGAAGAACAGAAAGAGGCTATGGAGCCTTCTGTTTCTTAGCTTTCCTAACCTTGTATCTATGGTTGAAGGGGAGGTGTTAGCTTTGCAGAGTCTTCAGCCTCAATATTTCACACCATGGAAATTATTGGCTCTGCTGAAGTGTGTTTGAAAGGAATTGCATCATTATTATAATGGTTGCAGTGTCGTTCTCCATCCTCAAAAGGAACTCGACTCCATAGTTCTGTGCAGAACTCTACAAAATTACAAATAATGAGGAAGAAACTCTACTGAGAACTTTTAAAATTTAACTTGATTGGTGGTTTGTCTCGGTGTGTTGAAGGATGGCATTGTTCATATGTATGCTTGTCTGTATGCAATTAGTGTGAATGGGGGGGGGGCGGTTCCTACTATTTTCCTGCCTTCCCACATATATTACGATTTGCCGCTTCTACAAGTAGTTTAACTTGCATCCACCAGTTGTTAGAGCAGTACAGCTGTCAAAGGTAAAGGTAAAGGGACCCCTGACCATTAGGTCCAGTCGTGGCCGACTCTGGGGTTGTGGCGCTCATCTCGCTTTATTGGCCGAGGGAGCCGGCGTACAGCTTCTGGGTCATGTGGTCAGCATGACTAAGCCACTTCTGGTGAATCAGAGCAGCACACGGAAACACCGTTTACCTTCCCACCGGAGTGGTACCTATTTATCTACTTGCACTTTGTGCTTTCGAACTGTTAGGTTGGCAGGAGCAACCCGTTGCAAGGATGTCTTAAATCAGTTTTAACTTTTATGCTTTTATTTCCTTTTTTTAGGAGAAGGAAGCAGCAGCAGCTGAAGGGGACACTGTTTGCAGAGGTCAAGAAACAAAAGAACAGGCACTTTATCCAGAGATGGACAAATACAGAGACTAGAGACTTGCAAGCACCATCTGTGCTTGAGTCTATGAAGGCTGTTGAGAACTTCGAATGAAGATAGGTCAGCTTTTGAGAGGACATTATTTGATGCCTGCTCCTTATGACTATCTGTAATAGACAACTGCTTTGATTTACAGCTGATCTGGTTCACTGCCAATTCCAGATGGTTCCTCATGTGAAGCTACTAGTATCTTCCTCCTTCGCATGATGTTTCAATACCCAAATGACCTGTTATGGTCATATTTGAGAAGACCTTCCGAAATCAGATTGCTGAGGGGATTATTATTACTGTTTTTATAATTTTGAGCCCAATAATGCCTGCTCTCACTGATTCCTCTCCACCTGGGGACCCTTTAACTTGTCTCAGCACACACAAGGACATTTGCCTCGATAGCAGCAGCAATGGAATTCCAAGAGACATTTATTAATTGAGACCCAGCCAATTAGCAGCTGAAAAGGGGAGGAAACGATTGTCCTTTGGAAAAGAATTGGGTTGCCAGCAAAAAAACCAACTGTTGAACTTGTATGATTAGCTGACATTGTGGAAGAAGGTTTCACCTGATACCTACAATTAACCTTCAGATTTATTGATGGTGTTGTCTTTTCTTATTCTGCACTCCATATACTGAACGGGCAGGCGACCTATGGAGCACAGTGGCTAAAAAGAGCCCTTACATTTGGTGAAGAGTTTCTTTTCAGCTGGGGACGCGGGTGGCGCTGTGGGTAAATCCTCAGCGCCTAGGGCTTGCCGATCGCATGGTCGGTGGTTCGAATCCCCGCGGCGGGGTGAGCTCCCGTCTGCAGTCCCAGCTCCTGCCCACCTAGCAGTTTGAAAGCACCCCTAAAGTGCAAGTAGATAAATAGGTACCGCTTTCTAGCGGGAAGGTAAACGGCGTTTCCATGTGCTGCACTGGTGCCGGCTCGCCAGAGCAGCTTCGTCACACTGGCCATGTGACCCGGAAGTGTCTCCGGACAGCGCTGGCCCCCGGCCTCTTAAGTGAGATGGGCGCACAACCCTAGAGTCGGACACGACTGGCCCGTACGGGCAAGGGTACCTTTACTCTTCAGCTGATCTCTCTCTTCTTACACTGTGCACTTTACCCTTCGCAGAGAAGCAAATGGGATTTAAAGCCTACTGCTAAGTCATGCTCATTCATTTACCATGTGGTAGAACAGACTTCTAAAATCCGTAATGTGTCTTGACTGTTCAAGAAATACGTAGCAGTCCCATCCATGAGTTAACGGGTAAGTTGAGCCTTTTGTGATCCCTCCAACCCCCTTCAAGAAAGCTTTAAGAATGCAAAATTGAGCAATCGTTCTAATGTGAAGACTGTCAGTTTATTTATTATTTATTGAAGTTACATCCTGCCCTTTCTCCTGAAAGTGACTAGGGTAGCAAACTGTTCCACACTTGGGGTGGGGGGGACAGACTGTTATAGTTTTAAAAAACCACATTCTATCTGGTGATCTTGGGGTTCCAGGAACAGTATTCTTCAGCTACAAAGTGCCTGGGTAAATGGGAATGTTTTCACATTCCTCCTGAAAGTTAATATTAAGTTAATAATGATGGAGGCACGCACACATCACTTAGAGGAGCATATGAAAGGAAAGGGGATTTCAGCGTGGGATATTTCAATTATCTTTGTACCAAGCAGAATTCTGATGGCATTATTCATAGCTGCAGGGTTAAAAAATGAAAGCACAGAAACGGTGAATTCATGCCATTTTTTTTTTCTTTGCACATATAAAGCAGTAGTTGAAATTATTTCCTGTGAGCAATTCACACATCTGGGATTGTGTTCCGAATTGTGTCATGACTTGGTTCCCATTGATTTTAACAGGACTTAAAAGCCATTGACTTGTGATCCAACTCAACATTATGTGCATGTTACAAATGAAACCTTTTGTATAAACCTAAACTATTCACGGCTGACAGTTTCTGATGTTTAAACTTGAAGGATTGATAACTTCTTTGAGCTGTAAACAATTTAATCATGTGAATATGAAAATGTTTTCACTTGTGCAATTTTGAAGACATTGTGTTGGTTTTGTGTTGTACATACTCATTCTATAGTGTTTCATATTAAAATGTAAAGTTGGAGGATTTTTTTTAAACCAAAAGGGTGACGTTTGTGTTCTGTGTGTGATTAGTGTGTGGCCATAAACATACTCCTGAGGACTTTGGTCTGAGGAAGGTGGCAGAAAACTGAGCACTGATTTCCTACAATGCTTTTCCCTGTTTATAAAATCAATTCTACATATACAAACTTTGTGACATGCTTGCTATTATGTATGTTTCCGTGTAACACATTGCAACTGTATTTTATTAAAGGAAGAACTTTTTTTTTTATCAATATTTTTATTGGTTTTTCCAGATACAAGTTATAGAAAAAGGAAAAGGAAAAAGAAGATAACAGAAGAAAAAAGAAACCATCTTTCCAAGACACTTTTCTCATAACCAACTGGACTTCCCCACATCTCCCTCACCCTGCATTCTTTACAATAAAAATATCAGCAAATTATTACCTTGTTTCATGCATTCCTTTGTACTTTCCAATAGGTATACTTTATGTTTAAGACTTATTATCTAGTTACATTACCTTAAAATAAAAATGATGTTACTTTAAACATTGGTCCTTTCATAATTATAAACTTAATTTCCATATCACCGAATCTTATTGCTGAAGCTAAATTTTCTGAGTCATGCAAACTCTTAACATTCATATAACTTAAAATATTTTTGTAGATAGTCTTTAAATTTTTTCCAATCCTCTTCAATTGTTTCTTCTCCCAAATCTCGGATTCTGCCAGTCATTTCGGCCAATTCCATATAGTCCATCAATTGCGTCTGCCACTCTTCCAGTGTGGGCAAATCTTGTGTCTTCCAATATTTTGCAATTAGTATTCTTGCTGCTGTTGTTGCATACATATAAAAGGTTCTGTCGTTCTTTAACACCTTCTGGCCATCAATGCCCAGGAGAAAGGCCTCTGGTTTCTTAGGAAAGTTGTATTTAAGCACCTTTTTAGCTCGTTATGAATCATTTCCCAGAAGACCTTCACTTTTGGGCAGGTCCACCAGAGGTGAAAGAATGTCCCTTCAGCCTCCTTACATTTCCAACATTTATTATCAGACAGATGATATATCTTAGCAAGTTTGACTGGGGTCATGTACCACCTGTATATCATTTTCATAATATTCTCCTTCAAGGCATTACATGCCGTGAATTTCATACCAGTGGTCCATAACCTTTCCCAGTCTTCAAACATAATATTGTACCCAATGTCCTGAGCCCATTTTATCATTGCTGATTTGACTGTCTCATCCTGAGTGTTCCATTTAAGCAGCAAGTTATACATTCTCGAAAGTACTTTAGTCTTTGGTTCTAACAATTCCGTTTCTAATTTCGATTTTTCCACCTGGAAGCCTACTTCTTTATCCAACTTAAAAACCTCTTGTATTTGGGCATAATGGAACCAATTTTGCACCTTATTTTTTAATTTTTCATAGCTCTGCAACCTCCAATTTTCTCCAACTTTTTCTAGAATTTCCCCATATTTCGGCCAGCCGACCTCCATATTAGGTTTTTTCCAGGCCTTGGCCTCTGCTGGTGATAGCCACCTCGGGGTCTTACCTTCTAGCAAGTCCTTGTATTTTGTCCAGACCATAAATATTGCTTTTCTGACAATATGATTTTTAAACATTTTATGAGCCTTTACCTTGTCGTACCACAGATATGCATGCCAACCAAAAGCGTTATCAAACCCTTCCAGATCTAGAACATCAGTGTTCTCAAGAAGTAACCAATCTTTCATCCAGCAGAAAGCTGCAGCTTCATAATACAACCTTAAATCTGGCAGGGCAAACCCCCCTCTTTCTTTTGAATCAGTTAGTATTTTAAACTTTATTCGGGGCTTTTTGCCCTGCCAAACAAACTTAGAAATATCCTTCTGCCACTTTCCAAAGCATTCCACTCTGTCCACAATCTGTAGGGTTTGGAACAAAAATAACATTTTCGGCAATACATTCATTTTTATAGCTGCAATTCTACCCAACAAGGAAAGTTTCAATCTTGACCAAATTTCTAAATCTTTTTTAATTTCCGTCCAGCATTTTTCATAATTGTCTTTAAATAAATTCAAATTTTTAGCAGACAAGTGAACCCCTAGGTATTTCACTCTTTTAACCACACTTAATTCTGTCTCCCTCTGAAACCCCTCGGCTTCCGATAATGTCAGGTTTTTTGCCAAAACCTTGGTTTTTTGCTTATTCAGCTTAAATCCCACCACCCGACCAAACTCTTGTATCAGTTCTAAAACTCTTTTTGTACTAGATTCTGGCTCCTGTAGTGTTAACACCAGATCATCTGCAAAAGCTTTCAACTTATATTGTTTCACTCCGACCTGTATTCCTTGCACCAACCGGTCCTCCCTAATCATTTCAGGAGCACCTCCAGGACTGAAATAAATAAAAGAGGGGATAAGGGGCACCCCTGTCGTGTCCCTTTTTCAATTTTGAACTCTTCAGTCACCACATTGTTCACTATCAGTTTAGCTTTTTGCTCTGAATAAATTGCTTCTATTCCATTTTCAAACCCCCGTCCCACTCCCATCCCTTCCAGGTTTTTCTTCATGAACATCCAAGAAATGTTATCAAAGGCCTTCTCCGCATCAATAAAGATTAACACAGGCTCTCGTATTGATATTTGTTTGTAAAGTTCCAAAATATCAATAATGTTCCTAGTGTTATCAAACATATGTCTACCTGGGAGAAAGCCAGCCTGGTCTTTGTGAATCACTTCATTAAGTACTTTTTTAAGTCTACTTGCCAAAATGTCTGCAAAAATTTTGTAATCCACATTTAGGAGTGAGATGGGACGGTAGTTCTTAAGTTGAGTCTTTTCAGTCTCCAGTTTAGGTATCAATGTGATGAAAGGCTTCTTTCCACGTTTCCGGTGCCTTCTTCCCCTCCATAATCTGGTTACAAACCTCCATTAGTGGTTGTATCAAGTAGTCTTTTAATGTCTTATAATATTTGGAGGTAAGTCCATCAGGGCCTGGGGATTTGCCCAGTTGCATATTCTGAATGGCGCCCTCAATTTCCTGTTGTGTTATTCTGTAATTCAAAATTGTTGTCATCTCCTGGGATAGTTTTGGTAATCCATTGGCTTTTATAAATTGGTCTATCTCAGTCTCTTCCTGAGGCCCTTGCGTATAAAGTTTTTTGAAGTATCTCTGGAAGCACTTTCTAATTTCATCTGGTTTCTGATATTTCTCCCTTCTACCTCTAGATTGGTAACAAAGTTCAATTTTTGTCTTTTTTTCAACTGCCATGCTAGCAGTTTTCCACATTTGTTCGCCGATTCAAATGATCTTTGTTTCATTTGTTTGATTTTCCATTCCACTTCTTGATTTATCAATTTCGCATACTGTGCTTGATGGAACTTAATTTCTCTTAAGATCTCTTTAGATTTTGGTTTTAGTCTCAATTTTTTCTCACCATCTCTTATCTTCTCTAGTATCTTATCCTTTTTTCCATTCCAGAGTTTTTTCTTGATCGTGTTCTGTTGTATCAGAAACCCTCTCATTACTGCTTTGCTTGCGTCCCAGATTGTTCTTTTTTCCACCGAAGTATTCAGGTTAGTTTCAAAGTAGTCTTTTAAAGTTTTTTGGGCCTTCTTTACAATCTCCTGATCTCTTAGTAGGGCGTCATTCATTTTCCATCTGAAGGAACCGGTTGGAGTAAGTCTCAATTCCACTTTCAAAGCGTTATGGTCGGAGCAGGTTTTTGGGCAGATTTCCACTTTTCTAGTTTTAGGAGCCAGCCCTCTAGTTGTCCATATTTGGTCGATTCGTGTCCATGACAGGTGGGCCTCAGAAAAGAATGTTCCTTCTTTACCTAAGGGGTTTTTTGTCCTCCAAATGTCAATCAAATCCATACTGTCAGTTAGTTCAAAAAAAGTCTTAGGTAGTCTACCATCCTTGGTCAGATTTTGGTTCTGTGACTTATCCATATAGGTGGAGACCACCCCGTTCATATCTCCCATCATAATGATGTTGGTATAGTCCAGATAATCCAGCATTGTCTCATGCAGCTTCCTATAAAATTCCGATTTCCCCTCATTTGGTGCGTAAATTCCAACTATTAGAAATTTTTCTCCTTGAGTTTGTATCTCAATTGCCAAAATTCTTCCTTGTTCATCTTTAAATAGAAACTTCGGTGACAGGTTCTCCTTTGCATAGATCACTACGCCTCTTTTCTTAACTTTGTCTGATGAGATAAATTCTTGGCCTAGTCTTTTGTTGATTAACACTTTCCTATGGAGCCTAGTCACATGTGTTTCCTGCAAACAAATAATGTCCAATTGTTCTTTCTTCAATATATGAAAGATCCTTCTTCTTTTTCCCGGGGAATTTCCGCCATTTATGTTCCAACTAAGGAGCTGCAGAGACATCCTGAATCAATCTGTAAGTCTTATAGGGGTGTATCTTCCTTAAGGTGGTGGTGGCCAAGCTCCTGCTACTCCCTTCTGAAGGTCCTCTCCGTAATCGTTTAGAAACTTTTGTTGGTCCTCTGCTGTTCTAATTTTAACCTTCTTTCCTTTAATGTTAAAGGATAATCCTTGGGGGAACTCCCACCTGTACGGAATTGAGTTGTTTCTCAGTAGTCTTGCTAGGTCTGTGTATGTAGCTCTTAAATCCAAGAGTTGTTTCGGGATGTCTCTGTAGATTTCTGCTTTCTTGTCCTGGATCACCAGTGCTTTTTTAAAATGTAGGCCTAAAATTTTATCTCTTTCTTGCCTAGACCTCAAAATGATCAGGCAATCTCTAGAGCTGTCCTTCTTCACCAATCTTCCCAGTCTGAAGGCGGTGACAATTTTGAAGTCCTTGTCTTCTTCTATACCCCAGAACTTTGATAGTTCTGACGTCAAATAACCAATCAAATCTTCTTGTTCCAGTTCTGGAATTGCTCTTAATCTAAGGTTGTTTTCCCGATTTTTCAATTCCACCATAGACAGATAGGCCTGTTGTTCATTGATTTGCCTGCATAGTGGCCTTACTTCCTTTTGTACTTCCTCGGCCTTCTTGTTTGCTTGTTCTGCTTTTTGATTCGCTTGCTCAGCCAATTTGCGATTTTCCAAAGCTGCTGTTTGAAGGTTCCCAATTACTTGTGTATTTTGGGAGACCTGCTCAGTCAGCTTATTAATAGTAGTTGTAACTTGATCAAATTTTGTGTTTAATGCTGCCAGCTGTTCCAAAATTTGTTTAGAAATTGGGTCAGTCCCTCCTGAAGCCATATCCTCTGAAGCTGGCTCTTGAGCTGGCTGAGCAGTTTCTCTTTCTTGCAGTGTTACAACAGTAGGGACAGATGCTCTACGTGGCTGAACAGTTAACGTTGTTCGTAACAGTTGCTGTACAGTTTGTTTTGCTCTTGTCTTTGCCGCCCTTGATTTCCCTGTGCCACTCATTCCACAGCTGTCTATGTGTCAAGGTCAAGTTGTAGATCCCATGGGAAAGACAGTCCA